CTGTTTCGTTTCACGTTCCATGAATCGTCGAGTGCTCCCGATATTCTGGTGATGAAGAGACGGGGTAAATGCACTAGAACAAACGCCAAAGTATGGGTATCATCCAGTCTCAGATAATCAGGCTGATAAACTTAGAGCTGGTTGGAAAGTCGGTATTCGAAACAGGTCCCAACTACGGCTAGACGACGCAGGTCATACGCGCATTTGGCTGAAGAGGAAAAATACCAGAAGAAACTGACTTACTGATCATATGTGATTTGACGAAGAAGTGACGGATACTTTCCCCGTGAGATGGAGCGACGTGAGGGCGAGTTAAGCACTTGTTCTTGAAATCGTTCGGAACATAATGTTGCGATTATGAGTCGGGAAGAAAGTGAAGGTCACAGTGATGAAGACGGCATTAGTTGAGTCAGCACCAAGATGTATTGCCAAACGAGTGATTAAGAAAGTCCATACTCCAGCTAGAGCAGGCAGTCATATCTCATTATCAGTACCAGTACTGTTACAGATGATCCTCCAAAGAAAGACTACCAATCCCACCAGTTCTCAATCTTGGAATATGTGCATGTGAACCCATTTACTCCTCATCCTCGATCTCAGCCTCGGTGGCGCGCTTCATCATGCGCTTGAAGGCCTGCTCAGTCTCCTGAACAGCGCGGGCGAGGTTGCGGCGAGCCGCGGCGGGGGTGTTGCCGGGCTGGTTCATCTGGACGGGAACGACACCGCCGAATGGACCGGCGCGAGCGGCGTTCTGGCAGCGAACCAAGCAGACGTTGTTCTGTCCAGCAACGGTACCAGTGCAGGCCTGGTCAGCGGGGATCTGGGCCCTGAGAGGGAAGTCGGTCATGGCACCATCCTGAGTGACTGTCAGTGATCTGTGATAGATGGATGTCGCTTAGATTTACTTACACGGTTGCGGGAGTTCTGGCCCGGGGGGGTGGTGACGACGTTGATGTTGGTCCAGGTGGCACCAGTGGCATCACCGTTGATCATGCAGTCGTAGGGGCCGCCACCGTCACCGTTGACCTGGTGGAGGGTCATGTCGATGGTTCCGCCAGCGCGGACCTGGGGAAGCTGGTCACCAGTCATGGCCATGATGGCCTTGGTGCCAGTCTCGAGATCGTTCTGGCCAGCGCCAACGGTCTCGCCGAAGGTGTCGGCGGAGGCACCCTTGAAGCGGGTGGAATCGGCCTGGAAGGGATCGCGACGAGTGCCGTCACGGGGAGTGCTGGGGTCGACGCCGAGAGCCATGGCAGATCCGCCAAGCTCACCGGTGGCACCGATGATGGCAGCGTGGCCAGCCACCAATTGGGCGGCGGCGAGGACGGAGGCAGCGACGGCGGCTCTGAGAGACATGTTGACTAAGTTAGATAATAAGAAGCTCCTTGCCAGAGGAGGTTAAGACTATTGAATCCTGCCGGAGGAGGAAGAGAAACCTAAAGAGAGAGAAGAACTGAAGAGACTGCTGAAGAGTGAACTGTTGATGCTGATGAGGAAAGGAAAGCCAGAAGAAGCATGGGATTCTCGTCTGCTTTTGTACTCAAGAAACTCTCACGACTTTCAGACGTGCAACCTTTGCATCCCACCATGAGCGCAAGGGGAAAGCAGCATCAGGCGAATCTCCAGCCTCCCGCTTCTCTCCCAGTCCTCGACGATACCAGGGTTGAGATGCACGTTCCACCGTCTGTTGGCCTGGTGGTATTCCAGCTGGCAGCGACCCAAGATCAAGCATACTGTTAGGATTGTTCTATGGTAGGCGCCAGAAGTTGAGGCCAAACACGGCGACCACGACCGCATCTCGTGATGGAGACAAGTTCGAAACTGGGCCTTACCGATTCGGATCGTCGAAGAGGCTCTGTGTGGAAGAGACCGGGGTGCAAAGTTTGTTGAAGAGCCAATCGCATCGCGATCGCGTGCCCCTCCCCAGGTGGTAGGGAGGGGGAGAAACACTGTCGCAGATCAGAAAACGTTTGTCGCACATCGTTGGGCGGGATGATGTTCCAGGATCTGCGCCACGCCCGTACCATTACTCTATCCAGGCCCACGGCGAAAGAGGAAGAGACCCCTTGCCAGATCAAACATCCCTTCCCACCTCCCTCCCCCCCCAGAGAGTCCAAAACCTCAGTCCGGTCGAATTTAACCGTGCGGTGCTCCTGCGGGAAAGGCGAGACGAAGGAGGGTATGCCTGTTTCCAGCCAGCGTTGCCATGAAGCTGCGCTCGGCCTGCAGCAAAGTTCGTCCATAGTGAGGGTGTAGAGAAACTAGCAGCCAAACAGAGGGCAGATATGGAGAGTCTCACGGTGACGGCTATCATCTCAATGTTCTGGAACAGAAGCCCTTGGGGCCCCCCATTCACATTGACAACGGTTGCACCGAGGCCATTTCGACAGCGCACGACGGTGGATACGCACTAAGACCAGGAGTTGAGATGTCACGTTGGATACATAGCCATGCCCGTCGTCTAGAGTCCGGGCTTTCTCATGCTACTATGCAGTCTCGTTGCTGCAACGGCGGATGGATTTCCACAACGGGACAGAAAAGAATCGACGGTGAAGATACAAAGTCCCTGCAGGATGCAGCGATGCTATGCATACACAACTCGCGGGAACTAGCGCTTAGTGCCAGGCACGCCAGGGCAAGCTTCAGCGTCCCGTTGCTTGGTATGGCAGTCTCGCGCGGCTCATTGTCTCATTGGTCTGCCGAAGCCACTTGACTCATCCACTGAGAAGTCTCCGGACAATTTAGCTCAGGCGCCATTCCCAATATGTCAACGGAGGGAGGGCTGGGAGGCAAGGGGGGCGATAGTCCAGAATCAGGAAGGGGGATGGAAGACTCCGAGCCGGAAGGCTTTGTGACTTGATCGGTGCAGGCATCATCATTTGGACAGGAGGCGCAGATTGGGGCATCGCTGTGCTGATCCTTCGAATCATTGCAGAGCACGACCCATGGGAGATGCATGAGCCGCCGGTCATTTCTGGCGTATGTCGTGATTCACCAGGATGCTGTTTCTCGTTTGTGGTGGATCTACCCAAGAGGCACCCCCTGAAGACATCGTGAAGGGGCCAGGAGGCAGGCAGAGCAACCTGGCCGGAGTGGTTTGCAACAATGCTGGGCAGATCTGGGGAATACGGGCAGCTCGCCATTGGGCGAATCATGGGCAGGGTGTGTCGGTTCTCTCAGTCTCCGATGCAGGCATGGCAATTCTAGACACAGCCGACAGGGAAACAAGAGGCAAGTCGAAGGACTTGATACAGGGGTCACCGCTTGGATGGATGGGAGACGAAGCAGTCGGAGCGATTCCGTAGAGAGGGATAGCGCTGCAACGCTCATGAGTCGTCTGCTGTGATTCGACAAGTCTGTGCTTCACCGTGGCACACCTGGAACAGGACCACGGCGCCCCCGCTCGCATACTGCTTCTTGGGAAAAGAAGGCCGGGGGGAATTAAGCTTGGGCAATATGGTTACGTTAGAAACATGACGGCAAATTCAGGCTTATTTTGTCTACGGGGCCTGCGGAGTGGGGGGCTGCTTCAAGGGTCTGGCTCTTTTCGAACATGAGAAAGACGCCCGTTGGTTCGTGGGCGACTGTGAAGCCGTGTTTCTGTCTCGATATGCGTGCGTGTGTGCGGACTTTCGCAGCGCGAGCGCACATCCATCCAGTCTCTTCTCAGTCCCAGCCGTTGCTTGGCCAAGATGCCGGGACCGTCGGCTACTCACCAACCGAAAAACTCACTAGCCGGGCTGGCTCTGCTGCATGCTGCGTGCTCTCAGACCTCTCTCTCTCTCTCTCTTTGCGTGTTTCTTGCCTCCCAGCCACATCGGAGCGTTTGGACCGCGAGCCTTGAGTGACATCGCTCAGCCCCTTCCGATGGCTGCTGGCCATCGTCTCCCCCGACTCGGGGCCGACAACCGGCTGGGCGGGTCCACCCGCTCTCGGCCGGACACCGGTGGGCCTCCGCCCGGCCCATTCCCTCCCTTCCCCTTCACAGCCCCTTGAGGCCATCACCACGCGACTTTTGCTGGCAGCCTTACCCCTTACCATAATGATTTGCAATCCCGCCGCTTCTATGCCTGCTGTAGATCAATCACCATCTGGGCCACCAATCGCAACCAACAGTGAGCTCAGCCCCTGTGATGTCAGTGGGGTCGATACGAATGATTTACCGGCTGCTCCCACCTTACGCGGGCGGGTGCGCGAGTCGAGTTTCCAGACCTAAAATGCCCGCTCGTGACCTGACGCGCACTGGCGCCGCAAGCGAGTTTGATCTTCTCCTGCCAAGAGCAACCAAGCCCGCCCTACGAAAGACGCCTCGCCTGTGTGAGTGACGGAGGGCTGAGAAGCACGTTTGACAGCCAGGCCAGCCTAACTAGGAAACTTTAGGAGGGGGATGGGCAAGACTCTGGAAAAAGCTGAGCTTTGCTTCAAGGCCCAACAGGGCTGGGGGGCGACTACACGGCCACACACTCACTGCCACCTCGCGCAGTGTTGCATTACGCGCCAAGAGTGTAAGGCCAGGACGAGGCCACCTGAGGCGCGGCAAAACTTGACTTGCACGAGGCGCTGAAGCAGCTTCCGAGCCGGCCGTTCCCAAGGCTCGGAGGACGAAGTATCTTGTATTATTCTTGGCGCGAGAAGAAAGCTTCGCAGTCTTTGGGGCCCTGGGCGAGGCATTTGCCCAAAGTTGTTTAGTTCATGCACTCTGCAAGGGACGAATCAAACTCTCCATGAGCCGCTTGCCTCTTTGATTCAAGGTGGTGGCGGGATGCAGGTCCACAGTTACTATCTTGTGAGGCACGTTTCTGACATTTCACTTTGAGATTCACGAGCCTGTCATTGTTGGGAGATATCGACGAGTCAACTGGTTGATGGGATAGACTCTACTGGTGTGCCTTCGTCTTATCATCTGAAGCTAGGGATGAGACGCCCTATCTCCTCGACCGATGTTTCCTCCTGTGAAGGAATAGTTCTTTGGCCCCCTCCGTCTTAACTTTCGCGTACGCTCAACTCAGCAGCTCGCTCACCACCGTCGTGATGTCGCCATCGATGCTCGTCGCCAGTCCGGCATCTTCCAGATCCCACGGGACGGCCGTCTCAGGTCCCATGCCCACCCTCACCAGCTTCACCTTCCCCCCGCTTCTCATTACCAGATCCTCGTTGGGCCACCTCAATACGCCCGGCGTGGACATCCCGACGCCAAGCTCCAGGATCACTGTCGTCTTGTCCTCACGATGCACAATGTTCCTGCGAAACTGCTTCCATCTCGACTCCCCCTGCTGGAAAGGCTTCTCGTTGAACCAATGCCCGGCTCGCACGCAGATGTTCATCTTTCCGCCGCAGAACTTGCAAAGGGGCACCTTGCTCGGGTCTGTCAAGATTTGAGATACCGGATCCAGCGACGATTGCGCGTCGGCGACGAGTGGTCCAGAGAGCACCGTCGCCTCCGGTCTGCAATTCGCCAGGCATTGGAACACGGAGTACGAGCCCTGCGGCGTTGACAGCTTTTCAGGCGACAAACCATTTGCGACGAAGAGACCGTCGGCGTTCGAAGTCCTGACATGCGCGTTCTCGCCAAACGTGTCCAACCAGGATATCAGCGTCCCATACATCGGGGATTCTGGCCATGAGCTGACCATGCCAAGATGCGTGAAATAGTAGCCCCATCGTACCTGTTCGGTCGGCCAGCCAGTGAAGCCGAAGACACTATAGAGAGTTCGCAGCCCGTACTTGAGGAAACCGGGAAAGTGCTTGGCAAACAACGCCGTTGAAGTATAATCCAAACCATCGGAAGCAGATAACCCGGCACCAGCGCTTACGATGACAGCATCTGCCGTCGTTAACCACTGCCTGGCGCGGTCCAGCGAGTCGCACTGGATCAACGGCGACTGCCGGTGCGGGTGATTTACCCTTGGCGGGGTTGGCGACATCCCGATCCCTGGTGTCTGCGGGGGAGGCGAGGCCAGGATCTCCTTGTAGATGGCATGATCTGCATCCGTGAAGGTGTTGAAGATGATATCGGTGATGGACGTACTCTTGTGGTGCTCGAGCCAATCTGCAACGGCCCTCACCGCGACAGATGCCGCATCTCGCGCCGGGAACGCAAATAAGCCGGTCGAGATCCCGCAGAAGGCGACGATTTTCCTGCCATCCGGCGTCGCGGGCAAAGCTTCCACGGCGTCGAGCACGGAGCGATAGCATTGGGCGAGCTGCGCAGTCTGCGTCTCGGTCGGCTTCGAGCCGCGTTGCAGTTGCGGTCCAACCGCGTGCACGACGTGCTCTGCAGGCAAACAGTAGCCCTCAGTAACGATCGCCTCGCCCGGCTCGATTTCTCGGCTCCTTGACTCCATGATTCGGTAGCACGCGTCCCGCAGCCGGGGACCTGCAGCCGCGTGAATCACGTTGTCTATGCAGCGGTGAGAAGGTTGGAAGCATCCGAGACCTAGACCGTTGGCGGCATTGGTGATGGCGGTGATGCCGGACAGCGTCGTGATGTCACCTTGCCAGAGTGTGATTCTGACATCTTGAGAGTTGTTTCGTTTGAATGTTTGTGTCGGCTGAATTGAACCGGCAAGCGTGAGGAGCCTGTGGGACTGTTGTTGCCGGAGAAGCGCGTCTATCTTGCTCAGAATTGTCTCCGGCAAGGGTGGTTCGGGTTGGCGGACGCACAGTAGTTGTTGAAGCAGCCGCAGGTGGCTGGAAGGCTCCAGATCCTCCAATTGATCTTTGATGTGGCTGTGGTGGTGGTGATGGCAGTTGTTGTGTGTATGGCCCGACTCTGAGCTTCCTTCTGCTTCGTCGAGCAGATGTACCAATACTTGCTGCATGCTTGCCATTGTCGAAACTGCCGCTTTGGAAAATGTCGTGAGGTTGTGAACTGTGCGTCTAGTGAATAAGTGTCCGAGAGGTTTTAGCATCGTCCTCTTTTGACTAGCATTTCGCAATTTGCCATGTCTCTCGACATATGGGAGTTAATACGCCGCAGAGGAGTATTTAAGCAATCCAGATGTTGCTGAAGTGAGATTGCAGATTGATGTCAAAATGGATCCGAACTGGGTTGCTTGTGTGATGTTTCGGATGCAAAATACTTCCGCGCCACTGCATCTTCAATTTGATCCCGAAAATCTTGCAGGCTTTCTCACCAGCTTTCATATGCAGTTTTCTACTTTGCATTCGAGTTTCTTTTATTTTAAATACTCGCAATCATTTCTTTGGACCATTCCGCCTTAAACGACCTTGGAATCGGGGCACCGGTTCAAGCGCGCCCAGTTACAGGACAGCCTTAAGTAATTGCGACTACGCAACGCCCTGCCACTGACCCTCGCTGGGCAGGAGTTTTCATTGACATCGGTTATTTTCTGTCCTCTTTTACGTGTAAGCTTTTGTGTACCTAGCTTTCGTGAAAATGAGTATCTTGAGTAACGTTCCTCATTGCGCGTTTGTTTTCCCAGAGCTGTTGCTGCCTGTCGCATATTTGCTGAACTCCCTGTTTCCAAGACTACGTATCTAAACACACAGGCAGATTTATTTAGTACGATTTTCATAACGCGATCATACAACGGAATGAGGGGAGTACCTGACAAAAGTCGTACAGCGTCAACACGCAAGGGTGTCAGGATATGATCTCAATCGAATGCGAAGCAATTTCTGATACGTTGACAGTTGCCCATATACCTTTATGTGAGATATATCATAGCCTATTGATACAATATGCACATGGCGTCACAATATTCTCTAAGGCCGCATTGAAATCGACGGCCAAGTGAAGTTCTATTAGCAACCTCATAAGTAACATAAGACCTGGGGGGTTTCATGAGAAGCACCAGTTCGGAACCATAATAGGCTTGCTTCTGCTGGTCGTGAAATAAATACAAGTAAAGCACCTTGATAAACATTACGGAAAATAATCATAGTATCTATCGTGGAATTGAAGACTCCACTATTATAGATGTTCACTCGACAACAGTGGTTTGAGCGAAGATCAAGTCAGCAACAGTGATCTTTCTACTAATCTTTCATCTCGAAGCCTGATGAAGAACTTGTCTAGATGGTTTCAGAACCTTTTTGGTGCCGAAGAACCCCTCTATTACTGACTGCAACGGGTGAACCCGTTTGTCCGAACCATCAAAATTTTCTAGGCTCATGAAATCACAATTTTCCTCTGGAACCGCCAATCTTAGATAAGACTCTAGGATGCACGCATTATCTGCCGGTCCAATTGACTCATTGATAGCGTTCGATCAAAGAAGAGGCAGATACGCTACCGCGCACGAGCTATACCGGAATCACCAAACCGTTATCTTTCAACGCGATTTTAGAAGCCGTTTGACTCATGTAAGCGTATTCCATTCCAATCAACGACCGGTAGTCCGGTTCCATGGGTATGGTACTCAAACCGCCGCATCCCCAATCTGCGTTCAGACCCTGAGTCGTTGAGATTTGTCCGAGTCAAAGCCCATCCGTGGCCGCGTCCGAAGCACGTCACACAACCACCACAGACCATCGATCACAGGAGGAAACATCCGGCCGTGCTCATTCGGAACAAAAACGGCCTTCCGGCGATTCGCTTCCCGTCACAAACCGACGGATCTGCCTCCATCCTCCCGTCAGGCTCTTGCGAGCTTCCTCACCACAACCGGGATGGCAGCCTCCAGAGCAGTCGAGGCTGGCTCCACGCCTCCCGTTCTGGAAATTACTTCCCTTCTTGAACAAATCCCCGACATCATCTTTGAGATCGCATCGCATCTTCCCACCGAAACGGTACTCAGTCTTGCGCTCACGTGCAAACCACTCCACATCCTGCTTTTCAGTCGCACTTTGAAACGGATATCAGCCCGCCAACGACACAACTTTCTTTTCACACTTATGAGAGACTTGAATAATACGATAAAGGCAGACCACTACTACTGCCATACCTGCGGGAAAATCTACGTCTGGCGGTGTCCGGCGGAGAAACCACATGGACCAACGGATAATTGCCCATTCATCAAGAACGAAATGCATGACACTCTCAACTTAGCGGAGCACACTTGTTTAGGGACCTCGAATCGTTACTGGACTCATAATATTCCGCCGCGCGTTGAGCGGTATGGGAAAGGCATGGCGCTTCACACTGAACGGCAAGGATTCCTCAATTGTTGTGGTACTGGATCGAAGACATAGCGAAGCAACAGACACGAGATATGCGAAGATACCATTTCAAGGCTTTTCCTATTCATAAGAAGATAATACTGAGATATTATACCAATGTCCCCTCTGCCGCCAACGCCGGAATCATGTGCTATGCTATTCTATCTCTATACGAGATTAGTTCAATCCAATCTGACCAAGCAGCCACTTGGCCTCCTCAAACACCTCTTCAGGCTTGTTCTCGCCCTCAACAGGGAAGACATCCAGCTCCTCAAAGCCAGCAGGCTCATAGACGCCAACCTGACCCTCCACCATGCTCGCAAGCATGTAGTGTCCCTTCCTCTCATTCATCCTCTTCACAAGCGTCTCGGACGCACATTGAATGTCAAGGAAGACTATTCTCGCACCCTCGTTCTTGGAGACAACATCTCTAAGAGTGTCACGATAAGACTTCTTCAGCGCCGAGCAGCTGACGACGACAGAGTCGTGCCCCAGGTCCTCGATGGTCTCAACTGCGCGCTTGCCAATGCGACCCAACCACAACGCACGGTCGTCGTCAGTCAGGGGCAGGTTAGCTCCCATCTTCTCAACAGCTGCCTTGGAGTGCAGCGAGTCGCCCTCGATGAAGGGAACCTTGAGCTCCGAGGCCAAAGAGGTGGCGAGAGTGGACTTGCCGCTGCCGCAGGGTCCAGCAACCATGATGACTGTCTTTGAGGAGTTCTTGGCCTGCTGAATCCAGTGGTTGGCCTTGAAGTACTGGACGAAGTTGCTGACGAGCTGCTGGGTCAAGACAGGAGCCTCCGCCAGCGCGGGGGAGAGCGAGCACGCCGTGTCGGTGACGTAGGTCTTGGACGGCGCGAACTCGTCCTTGTCGTACTTGCTCGCGAAGAAGTCGACGAGCTTGATGGGTGGGTTGGCGGCGGGGTCGGGGTTCGACGCACGCAGACGACGAATCCACTCCTTGGGCTCGACCTCCTCGAACTCCAGGCCAGCAGCCTTCAGGGCGGGCAGCAAGTCGTTGGTCCAGCTGAACATCTTCGGGTTAGCGACGTTGGTGAAGACACCGTCGGCGTCGGAGGTGGAGATGTCGATGACGGCCTGGGCGACGGTGTCGACGGGGAGCCAAGAGGGCGTCTCCTGGAGCTTGGGCAGGGCGCCGACGGTAATGGCAGTCTGCAGCATCAAGGGGATGGCTTCGGTCGCGTTCCAGACGCCGTGCTCGGTGTCCGCGACGATCTGTCCAATGCGGAGCACGCGGGCCTTGACGCCGGACTTCGCAGAGGCGCGGGAGCAGAGATGCTCAGCGACGCACTTGGACTGCGCGTATCCCATGCCCTGTGCCCACTCGAAATCAGGGACAGACTCGGGGACGGGGATAGTCGTGGCGCGAGCGACGGTGCTCACGGAGGAGCAGAAGTTGAAGGTGGCGGTAGATGAGGCGTCATCGCCAGCAGCCTTGGCCAGCGCGATGAGGTGGTTGACACCGGCGATGTTGCCCTTCTCGAAGCTGGAGAGGCGCATGTTGAAGTTGACGGACCAGGCGCAGTGGATTACCGTGCGGAGGTCCTGCTTCACCTGGCCATAGGCGGTTTCCGAAAGACCAAGTTTGGGATCGGCGAGGTCGGTGGGCAGAGCGACGAGCTTTCTGCGGGAGGTCGCGGGGAGGGTGTGGTAGAGGCGGCGCTGGATGAGAGAGCTCTTCACGCGACGGGCGGCATCCGCATCTGAGGACGCGCGTGTGAAGCAGTAGATGGTCTTGATGGTCGGGTCGGCGGCGAGCTTGGCGACGACGTGAGCTCCGAGGGAGCCAGTAGCACCAGTGACAGCCTGTGACAATTTAGTTGCCATTTGTTGAAGGGCGGCATGGGGATTCTTACGATGGAAGATCGAAGGGCCGCCTTGGGGGCCTCGAAGGTATCGTACTTCTCGATGAGCTCGCTCATCTCGGTCTCGATAGGAATATCAGTGGTAACACCTTCTCCAGAACCCAGGCCGAAGAGGTAAGCACTGAGTTTGTTGATCGATGGATGATCAAAGACGACGGTCTGTCCAAGCTTGCTGCCGCCAATATCAATGGTTCGGAGGATATCGGAGCGCATCTGGATAGCCTGCAGGGAGTCGAGGCCGAGAGAGAAAAAGTCGGTGTCGTCGTCAAGGTTAACCTTCTTGGACAAGGCCTGGACGAGCCCCTGACGGACGAAGTCCTTCAACTCAGACAGGGAGAGCTTCTTCAGATCACCGCTGCTGGCGTCCGCCTTGTCGTAGACCTCGTCAATCTCCTGGGCGTATCTCTTGTAGAAAGCCTGGCGAATGACACTACCCTTGTCGGTCCTGGGGTAGGCGCAGTCGTAGGGAAGAAGCTTGATCATGTTCTTGGATACACGAGCATAAGCTTCGGCCTTGCGGCTTGCTTCCTCGACGACAGGCCAGACGACCTCCAGAATCTCCTCATCGGTCTTGCCAGCGAGGGCCGGGGCAGGGACGATGAGGGCACCGAGAGACGGACGTCCGACGCCGAAGATGACGCACTCGGTGATGTTCTTGTTGGAGCGGATGGTGCCCTCCATGTGGACGGGGTTGAACTTCTCGCCGTTGACCAGGGCGATCGTGTCGTCCAAGCGGGCGATGTACTTCCATGCCTTGGGGATCGTGGGATGGGGCTCGAAGAGATCCTTCGTGCAGTACGAGCCGTCGTCCTGGTTCGTGGCGACCTTCGCCGGCCAGCCCGGGAGGACGCAGCACTCGAACAAGTTCGGGCCGCGGGGAATCCACTTGAGATACGGCTCGAGCTTGTCGTGGACGCGGACGTAGTTCCAGACCTTGTCGTTAGGTGGGCGGAACGAGGTCATCAGTTGACCAACCTCGGTACTGTCCGGTGTTAGTCTTGTTATGGAGGAAGAGTTGCGAATGAACTTACGCTCCGTAGTGGCCAACGAGGTTGACTCCGTTGTTAACCAGAGTGTCGCCGAGGTCATCAGGGCAGGCGGAGCCACCATACATGACGATCTTCAGCTGACGCAGCAGAGCCATGCCCTCGTCAGTCTCGGCGAGAAGCTTCAGCGCGTATGGAACGCCGTAGAAGATCTCAAAGTTGTGCTTGCGCATGATACCAGTGAGGTGCTCGCGAGTAAGAGGGAGGTCTGCGTTGTACAGGTGGATGGACTTTCCAGAGTAGATAGCCCGGTACAAGTTGCAGATGCCATGGTTGTGATACAGAGGCAGAGTGATGAAGGCCTTCATGTCCATACTACTGGAGTAGTTGGCGATGGCAGACTTCTGCGTCTGGTAGATGGGCTTTGGGAGACCAGTTGATCCTAAGAAAGTTAGTCAGGCTCTCAGAAGTATGAGTAGATGTTGACTTGCCACTGGAGTGGATGATGTAAATGAGATTATTCGTCTCAACTGAGAGATCACGTCCATAGTCCAGCTGGGTATCAGCGTGGACCTCAATGGGGAAGTCAAAGGTCGATTGACCCGCGATCTCAAAGACATCGAGGTAAGAGAGGTTCTGCTTGGCACCCTCAGCCGTCTCAAGATACTTCTTGTCGGCAATGAGGAACTTGGCGCCGGTGGTTGTAATGAGAGACTCAATAGCCTCTTGTGAGATTCTCGTCGACAAGAATAGCGTCGTGTGGCCGAGCTTGGTCAGCGCCAGCATGGTGATGAGATAGTCAAAGTTGGATGGGCCCAAGACGGCCACGGTCGTCGGCTTCTCATCGGAGTTGAGCCGGCTGGGGATGCGCTGCTCATAGAGCTTGGCCACGCGGTAGGCGAAGACATCGAGCTGTCTCATCGTGTAGTCGACATAGTTGATGCCAGAAGAAGGGTAAGACACAATGACACTGTCCGGGTGCGCCCGGGCGCGACGGCGCACCAGCTCGTCCACCGTCTTGATGGTGCTGTCATCGTTGTCCCAGCCCTGAGCTGCGGCAGCCGTGGACTCGGCGAGGGGATTCGCAGCCAGGCTGGAGCCCGGGAGCTCCGCGCTTGTGGGGCCGTAAACTGAGGGAGGACTCATGGTGGTTGGTGTCGCACGTGGTTCATCCAAAAGTGAGAGCGGTCGGGGGAGTACACTGTACCGTCAACAGCTACTCTCTCTGTGCCTGGTTCTCTCAACTGTTGGATGGTTTGGTGATGTCGGTTCGAGTTGGAGATTCACACACCACCTTTTTGAGAGTTTCAATACGGCCCCCGGGACGAGGCGAGTTGCCCATAATTCCGACGCCGGTGAAGCGCGTCCCGCCCTGCTGATGCATTGCTTGACGCTTCCGAGTGGATGATGGCGGTGATGGCGATCATGTGGAGGAGGGTCTCCGTCTGCAGGGGGTACAAAATCCGCTTCTCCACAGTTATTGGGGCAAACTGGCGGATTTAAAGCGTTGCGCTAACGGAGAATGACGGATTTCGGTGTTGGTAACCGGGATGCGGCCAGGTCACGGATACGAATCCGCTTGCTAGAACAGAGCTCCGTGATGCTGCAGCAACTAGAGAGCCACAGTAATACTTCGTGATGAATTCGTAGCGTGGCTGAAACCGATTTATTATCTTCTTGTCCTGTTGCCCAAGTCACCTGTTCTGGCACATCATCACTCGAGCACCTTGTTTGTTACCCGTTCACACCCCTCATAACACCTTCACACGCCAACCACTCGGATAACACCATCATCCCTGCACCGTATTACACAACATGCCTCTTACCACACACTTCACCCTCAACACCGGTGCAAAGATTCCCGCTGTGGGATTCGGCACCTGGCAAGCCGGGCCGCACGAGGTTGAGCGTGCTGTTGAGACTGCCCTGCGTGCCGGTTACCGCCACATTGACTGCGCCGCCATCTACCGCAATGAGGCAGAGGTCGGTGAGGGCATCCGCAAGAGCGGCGTTCCTCGCTCAGAGATCTTTGTCACTGGAAAGCTGTGGAACACCAAGCACAAGGCCGAAGATGTTGAGTCTGGCGTCGACAAGACGCTGAAGGACTTGGGCACGGATTATCTTGACTTGTTCCTGATGCACTGGCCGGTGTAAGTTGGATGCATAAATGTGTGAAAGTGAACCTGAAATTGTACTGACATGACATCCAGTGCTTTCAAGCCTTCGGACAAGTGGTTCCCCATCGACTCCAACGGAGTCTTTGAGCTGGCCGACATCGACCCCGCGGAAACGTGGGCGGCGATGGAGAAGCTGGTTGAAAAGGGCAAGGTCCGCGCCATTGGCGTCTCCAACTTCACCAAGCAGCGTATCGAGGATCTCCTCGCCAAGACCAAGACGGTCCCTGCCGTCAACCAGATTGAGGCACACCCCTACCTGCAGCAGCCCGATCTGCTCAACTACTGCAAGTCCAAGGGCATCCAATTGGCTGCCTACTCTCCTCTGGGTAACAACCAGACCGGCGAGCCGAGAACAGTGGATGACCCCCTTGTTGGCGAGCTGAGCAAGAAGCTGGGCATTGATGGCGGCCAGCTTCTGGCCTCCTGGGGTGTGCAGCGTGGCACCGTTGTTCTGCCCAAGAGCGTCACTCCCAGCCGGATAGAGTCCAACTTCAAGGTCCAGGAGCTGCCCGAGGACGTCTTCGCGCAGCTTAACGGCCTCGAGAGGAACAAGAGGTTTAACTGGCAGACGAGATGGGGCTTTGACATTTTCCAGGAGCTAGGCGAGGAGGAGGTCAAGCGTGTGGCACAGGAGACAGGCCCGGAAAACCTGACGAAGTTCACCGTGTAAAATAGTTAAAATGTTTTTGAATAAGTATAGACTATGTTTCTCATCCACCTATGTCCGGCATCCAAGCGTACGGGTTTGCGTCGATGTCCAAGTATGGACCAAATGCTGAAGAGTCAAGGTCTAGCCAATCCGTCGTTTGCCACTCGTCTAGCAGGTTGGAACCGAGGAGTCCTGCATCTCCTTGATCCATGAGATCGACGGTGCCAGATCCGGCAGCGTATGCGGAGTTGAAGTCGAATCCGCCTATTGTGGTCGCTCCGTTTCCTTGAGGTTGGGGTAGCTGTGTCTGGGTTTCCGTAGGGGGAGCAGCTGGTCGAGGTGCTGCAGCTTGTGAGGCCAGGGGAAGTTGTCCGTTATTTTTCCGGCTCATCTGTCCCAGGCCTTCAGTCCTGAACTCCTCGAGAATTATGGCATATCGCCGACTTGGAGAATTTGACGCTGTTGCATGAGCGAGATGGGTTTGGCAGCGCTCGGCCAGGTCCATAAGCTTCGCATGCTTGATCTTGCCTTCATTCTCGAGCAAGATCCCCCGGCGCTTTTGCTGTATGTCCCAGACGTATGTTACGAGCAGGGCGCAGAATGTGACGTACTGCGTCCACCAGAAGGCGTGGAAGATGGGCCCTTCTGCGGCCATGCCGTCGACGGTCTCGAGGACTGTCCGCGCTGCTCCGAGACACTCCAGGATTTGTGTCTCGCTGCCAGAACTCAAATTACCTAGAAGGAATAGACGGTTTGCATGCATTATCGCATGCGAGTAGGCAAGTTTCAAAACTGTAGCCTGGCGACGGAAGCTGGGTATGAGCATTGAAGGTCGTATTGAACCCAAGTGTGGAGGGAGACTGGCACGCCATTCGTGAATCTTCTCGCTGAACCTATGGGCGGCGGCAACTCTTTCCTGTTCCGAGATGGCCTTTATTGAGTAGACTTCCCTGGACGTGTTTCCAATGATTTGCGCAATCCTTTGAAAATAGTCAGCTTCGCGTTGGCTCTATAGCGACGGTGAACTCACTTCGCATGGCAAATCAGGGCGTCAATATGACAATCCGAATGCTCTTCGAAGCGCTCGATGGGCCCTTGTGCAGTCATATCCTCGTCGTCAATTCTGTCGGGGTAGTCTTGGTCGATGTCATCGTCGTGGAAATGCCTTGGTCGACCGAATATCACGCCCAAATACTTATCGAGAACGTAAGCTGTCCAAAACGTGCGGGACCGACATTGTGCCTGGATGTAATCCGAGTTGCCCGCTGCTAAATGCCGCTTCTTCGCAGCTTTTCGGTGCATCCCGAGAGCGGATATGATTTGCAGGGCGTTCCCGAACGTATACCACGCTCTATTCATACGTGAAGTCGTGAGTAGATAAAGCACCTGAATGAGACGAGATTGCGCGGATTCCAGTCTGGGTAAGCCGGTTTCACGCTCTGTCAACTGGAGTGCGACACAGAATAGCCGATCACTCCGTGCTAGTGATAGCCTTTCATCTTCTGGCTCATGGAACCCTTTGGACTTCTCACTGTGAGCGGTCGCCACAGCAAGGGCTGTAAGGACGATGGATGCCTTGGCCCGGCCGATGTCTTGCCAGACAGGCTTCCCTTGGGCGAGGTTGTTCACCATCGTCTTGAGCCATATCTCCACCGTTGGCCGATGCAGAACACGATACGTGGCAATGCAGACGTCGAAGTACATGCCCAGCAAGTCTTGCAGCTCTCTAGAACTGGGCAACGAAAAATTGGCGACATCATCGTCCGTGATTGGCGGCAGAGGCTTGTCACCCGCCAGCATGAGTGGCTGATTCTCCGTCGAAGCGTTAAGATAGTCGGGCACAATGCTGCTGTCGTGTTTAGACAGCCTCTTCCAAGCTCGGTGAAGGAAAGTGACGCCCGAAGTCGGGTCGAAGACCTGGCCCTGGATCTCGGCCATGCCAAGCTCGGGTGAGGCTCTTGAGGCTGGGCCCTGGCTCTCACGCACCTGGCCGCGCAACGAGGATGCTGTTATCGGCGCAGAAATAGTGCGCCCCCCTGTCTCGGTTGTCTGATACATGACAGGAGGCTCCTCAGAGCCAGACGCCGGGCCGCCAGGGTGAGAGGTGCTAGAGCTTGCAGACCAAACAGCAGACGGAGGCGGCGTTGGAGGTCTTCCACGGGAGTACTTGGCATCGTAGACGCAGGTGAGGCCCTTGCGCGTACATTTATCGCATGGAATGGTCCCGCTACACTTGGCCTTGCGCTGCTTGCAAAAGTCGCATGCGCGACTCACTTTCTGCGATTTGCGGCGGTTGGCGGCAGCACCGGGCCCGCTGAGCTGCTGCTGCTCGTCGGACAGAGGCGACTGGTGATCGGCGGAGCTGAAGCTTCTTTTCCGTGATTCGCCGATGCTTCCTCCTCCACGGGGGCTCGACACCGAGGCTGCTGCTGCCGAGGATGCGCGATGGGCAGCATCGGCAGCCGCCGGGCTGGCCGGGCCCGGGAGCGGGCGACGGAACTCGTCCATGGACCGGTGAGTGGGCCGGAGCCGGAAACTGTCTGTCGCACACCCGGGATGACGGGCAGGGGAGCACTTGGCAGAGCCAGCAGAGGTGTGACGCGGGCGCGCGCACAGTCGGTCGATGGGGAGGAGGTTGGAAAGTCGGAAAAGAAAGAGTTGCAAGAGACAGAAGTCGACGGAAAACGGAGGGGATTTGTCTGGGGAAGCACAAGACTGGAGGATGAGGGGCGGAGGCTGGGGGCACGCGCTAAACACACAGGGGTCTGCAGCCAGAAGCGGGGGAGCCAATGGGCGCTGAGGGTCGCTGTATCCAACCCGCCGATTCATCACTTACTTGAATCAGTTGCTGTCCCTAGGCCGTGTGTGTGTGTGTGACCTACTCTGAGGCGTGGAGGTGGACGGGTCCGGGGAAGATCCGGTGGGAGGGCGGGGAGAGACCGACGGATTTCTGAAAGACACCACGAGCTCGCCCGGTTTTGCCCGGTTTCAAGATGTGAATGTCAGCAAGATGGGTCCTGCTTGCGTCTAGACGGACAACGGTGCTGCACAATGTACTCTCTGATGCTACGCTCGGCACATCATGCCGGATGTTGAGGCTGTACTGATGAGCAAGCAACTGTTGCATGCAGATCTGGACTTAACACTTGGCTTTCTGCCCGTTCGGCCGATCTTTTATTACCGATCATAACCGTAATGCGAAGGGACCTTGGCCGTAGAAGAAAACATGAGATGATGTGTGAGTCAAGTGCGCCGAAGTTGGCCACTGATTAGGAAACTTCAAACTTGACTCTTAGGGCGAAAGACAATGACGAACAGCA